GTCTCATTCTATTACAATTTGTCCCCCCTTTACCCTCTTCTACCTCTCCCACCCCTGCCCCTCTGGTAATCACCATACTGTTGTCTGTGTCTAAGAGTATTTTTTTTTCTTTGCTTAATCCCTTCACATATTTCACCCAGCCCCCAACTGCCTTCCCCTCTGACAGTGGTCAGTCTGTTCTCTGTAAGAAAATGCTAATTACATTTAGCCTAGTGTTCCTTATCTATACTGCAGGAGGTCAGGAAAAAGCAGGGCAACTGATATTGATGTCTAGGTAATTCCTTGCTCTATCGGAACAAGTAACTTTTATCCTCTCCCTTTATTTTATTAAACCTGCTAAGGAGAAGCTAATGATGGACATCCTTTCCCAGGGCCCGCACACCCTCTGGTGGAGATGATAAGTAATCAAATTCCCACACACCGCTGTCCTAATTGTTAACTTGGTAATTCCAGATTTTGTTTTACTATCAGAAGCTTCTTCATCTTCGTAAAGATTAACAGGGCCTGTGGCCTTAAGCATTTATTTCCAGATGATGACATCTGAAAAAAATCATTGCTGTTCCCTCACGTGCCTCCCCCTCCATATATACATTTCGGCAAGTGAAAATGCAGTTTTTGTCATATTACACCCTGTTGTATAAGATTGGAGTCCTTTTATGAAAGAAGTTAAATAATAATCAATAGCATTTTTTATATTGTTAATTGCTCCCAAGCAGTGATATCTGCTATAGTAATCTCTTTTCTTATATTAAAAAAAACCCATCTCCTCCCACCCCAATGTTTTAATATATGATTTTTAAAAGGTTGTATTAAGAACTTTTCAGATTTCTAGGTTTATTAATAAACTTTCTGGCTTACAGTTGATTAAGAATGCCAGATTTTTGCACTAGATCAATGTAAAAAAGAATCTGATATTCATATCTCCAGGTGTTTTTTTTAAAAAAGGACATAATATTCTTAGAGAGATAGTGCCAGACCCTTTCAAACACTGATTTTTCTGCCACATCATTTCGGGTGTATTAAAATTGCAAGGAAGACAGCAAACATTGAGGAAAAATGTAACAAAACATTGAACTGCATTAGAGTAATCCATACAAAAATGTTACATAGGACCAATATTATCAAATCATCGTAAGTTAACATTTCACCCGAGGATGTTTTTGGTGGTGAAGCTAAGAGTTACCACATTTGCTGACTATCCCTTAGAAAAGGACTTAACCTTTCATTGGTAATCTATGAAACCAGTATCCAGATATTTCTGTGTGTACACTTCAAATGAGCAGTAAGAAACGAGATGCTAGTTACCCACTGACGTCCACTCTACTCAAAATGTGATTGTTCCAAGGCATTTGCCTTTGCTCCTCATGAAGATCATGGGGATAACATTTACCTGTTTATCTCCCAGGTTTCTCAAGGCCTTGCCCTACCTCATCCTGTTCACATGTGGCCCTTCTCCCTACATATTTTAGGAAGGAGAACTTACTGTTTCGAGAAATGTTCCCAGTAAATCAGAAAGTTTGGGAAGTAATATTTAGAAATACATAGGGAACAAAGAGAAAAGAAAGAAGAGAAAGGAAGAAGAATGGAAGTAAAAGTTTATGTATTGGTTGGAGACTGTGTTGGTTACATAACAAACCTATCCCACCACTACCCCCATCTCCCACATACATATAGCACAAAAATGGTAACTTGGCAGATAGTCTATGAGTAAAAGTAAGTACCATTATTTATAACAGAAAGAATAATGAGAAAATAACCCAATGTACTTTTATGTACTTAATTATTTAAGTAAAATCTTAACTTTGATTGGAGAATCATGCATAAAAGTGGAATTAGGAGACCTATTTTCAGGTATGAAATAAAAAACTTAAGTGATAAAACTTAAAAACCTAGAAATGCAAATGACCTTTTATAATTTTATTTTCACTAAGAGATTACATTTTAAAAATCTTAAAAAATATAGAAAAAAAATACATACAGTTTGTGAATCATCGGTGGTCCTGTGCATCTGAGGTGAGATCAAATGAATGCATGCCAAGCACTCACTGAGGCATGGCGTGGCATGCAATTTAATCTAGCTTCTCTGCTATTTTCCTTTTATCTAAAACAAAAGGATTACGGTGTCTCAGGATATAATTCTGCATTAAAGTAACTTCTTATTTGGAGGACTGCACATAGAGAACTCCTGGTCATTTATAATTGTAAGCTCTGGTGCCATTTTCAATGTCAAATGTACATAAGATTTGTGCTTATGTTTTAAAAATGAAATCTATGCAAATTAAAGAAGTACTAGTTGAGTATTTTAACATACATAAAAGGTTGCTATTAAGGAATATCAAAATTAGGAGAACTATATAACATCATTACGTTTCTGAAAAATAAGAACACTGAAACTCATAGATGTTTGCAGATATCCTTGTCTGTTTAAAAGGTTATTTGGAAATCGGTTACTCCAGGTCATTTCTGCCTTCTCTGCTTGCGTGGAAGATTGGGCAATGGCGTTAATTTAGAGAACACGAACAATATCTAATCACTAGTGAGAATTTTCTTTATAAGTTCAGCCAAATTGAGAGTGCAGCCAAAGTCAACATCTCCTCAAACTAGTGTGATTTCCAAGGCACGAGTGGTAGGTGATTAAACCTCCATTATCATCTTTCTGTGGCTTTTTAGTTCACAAAAGTGTTTACATATACTTTAGCATACTCCCAATTTACTGTGATTAAATTTCATTAAATCAACGTTCACTTTTGGGGGTTATTAGAACTAAAGTAAATAAATGATGAGGTATTATAAAATAAAATTGTAATTATAAACAATCAGATTACATGACGAATGACCGGCATACTTTTCTGAGTAATCAAATACTGCAGAACTTACCAGGTTGAGTCTCCATCATGTCTTCATAGAATAGTGTTCTTCCTTACCCCTACACTTCTAGACTCACAGCACCTTCCTTCTTACTGAGATCCAGACAATCCAGGCATTTCACATACTGTTAGCATCTCAGGAGGGCATTCCTTAGCCCTCTTCACCCACCTTCCACCATTGGCAACTGCCAGGACCATTCACTTACAGGTATAGGTGCTACCATGCCTGGAAATGAGCCAAAGCTGCCACTTCTACAACACTTCTCTGCTTCTTCCTTTACAACCCAATCAAAATGTACAAATATTTTCTACCGCCATTATTTACTTTGTTGGCACTATTCGGAATCTCCCATTTTTAAAACACAAATGTACCCTTGGCCGATGTGTACAGTGGTTAGAGCACTGGCCAGCACACTGCAGGGTTGCAAGTTCGATCCCCGGTTGGGGTGTGTGCGGGAGGCAACCAATCCATGTGTCTCTCTCACGAAGATGTTTCTCCCGCCGTCCCTCCCTCCCTCTCTTCCACTCCCTCTAAAAAAAAAAAAAATCAAAGGAAAAAATAATCCTCAGGATTAACAAAAACAAAAAATACACGAATGCATATATTCCAATGCTCAGAAGGTCCCATTCTTAAGTCATTGACTCACTACTTTTAACCATTTACTCAGTGACTCCTACATTGAAGATACTGCTCTAGGCTCTAAGGATACAGCAGGGATAAGAAAAACCAAAGCTCTCACAAACTCTCATTCTGAGAATCTCGGGGATCAGGTTTAAAACGTATATTGGGACTCACAAAATGGAGGCCGCCCCACATCACAAATCTAACCCCAAGTCGGCTGCATTTATGGGAAACACCTCTTAAGGAAACCTAATCTACACCAACCACAATCCTCGACCTCAGCTTTAGCTAGCTCACCTTGCCCTAGAAATAGGACCTCCTAGCTTTACAAGGAAATTCTTGCCCTCCTAGCCAATCCTGCCCTGTGTCCGAGTTGCCTCTTCCAATGCTCTATAAAACTCACTTCTTGCCCCAATGCTCCACGCTTGTGAGGCACCATACCCCCCAAATCATGAATTATTTTCCCCTTGAGTAAAGGACATTACTGTGTTCCTAAATTGCTTTGGCGTATGGCAGGAGGGAGGAACGGGAAAGATTGTCTCCATGTGACTGAGAGAGACGTGGGGATGATATCAGGTGGGGCATCAGGGAAGGGTCTCTGAAGAAATCACATTTACGCTTAGGTCAGAATGACAAACTGTGACACTGACCATAAGCAACAGGCTGCTGCCAACACAGGATTCTGCTCTTTGCAAGCCCTCAATAAATGTGAAACTCAAGTAGTTATCTCTAAGATATGTGCTCCTTATTGTAAATAAATCACATAATGCTTCATATTAAAGAATATATAAAGTCAGATTAGTTTGCGTTGCCCTAGAACACCTATGTAGACAATATTTCAAATAGTAACATCTACTTACATCATAAATATTTAAAATAGGTCTCAATGGGAAAAAGATCTCCTACTCTTAATGTTATCATCATTTTATATGATGCACATATAAAACATTTATTTGCATACAGTTTTACCACATTAATAAAAATGTTATGGGAATGTTAAACCTGACACTGATTTGTAGAAAGGAAGAGCATTTCTTTCCATAAGATGTTACTTCATCCTACCACCTACTATGCCCAGATGTCCAGGCCCAACTGAAGATTCCATGCTGTTGGGAGCAAGACTCCACTTGTACTCAACCATGTTCATGCTTTCACATTTACCCACTGATGTTCTGAATATTTGTACTTGTTGTTCCTCTTTAAATAACAGATTCTGATAGAAAAATCAAAATTATACTTTTACTATTCCCGATCCTAGGATAAGAATGATAAAACCTGTTGACATTAGAAAAGGCAAGCCCTGACCACTGTTAAAAAGAAACAACAAGCCCCAAATGGAGTCACTTGTGCTATGCAAGCCAAGACTTAACACCTAAGCTAACTGGGCTTCCACTTCACCCAGGAGTGTCTTCAGAACTGGTCAGAGTGAAGTGAAATCTTTTGGCCATCACCAATAGGGTAATCTGCCACATAGGCCTTTCCCCACCCCTCAAATATAGAGGAAAGATCATCCAAACCTATAGGGAAGTTTTGTAAGAGTTTATTTGAGCCAAATTTTACAACATGCCTGGAAGCAAGATCTCAACAGACTGAGAAAATGATACAGAGAATGGTAGTTCTGCAGTCTCATTCATGCACTTAAATTCAAAGAAAAAAAACATAGGGAAGGAACATGAAGTCCATTGCTGGTACATTAAGGAGACAGGAGAAAGCAAATTGGGGAAATTTCTAGGACTGGATAAAAGGCAAAATGGAGAAACACATACTTCTTCTACATTGGTGGGTACAGGGTAGTAAATACTTAGCATTCATAGCACACAGAGATGGTATGCGGGGAACAAGACAACAATGAGGGCTTCTGTGGTGTGCTCTGGTGGGCGCCTGTGCACTGCAGAGTCTATAAAAAGAAATTACTCTAACATTTCAAAGGTATGTTATCTTAGATTCATAAGAACAATGGACATGGCTTACTTAAGGTAAAGAATGACTTTTGCTAAGAAAGTGATAGGCCTGGGCTGTGACTACTCATTGTGACCTACCCCGTTAGGAATATGTGATCAGACCACCCTGTGTGGTTACTTTAGGTCAGGCTTGTAGCCTGCCAAGTGGCCCCCTGAGCTTGTCAGGTTTACTACACAGCCCCTCATTTTGTTCACAGGAAGATGAAGTAATCTGCCACAGACACTTTCTGTCCCCCATAGATATGTTACCTAGACCTGAAATAATTTTTTTTGTCCTTGCCTTGCCTTTAAAAACCTGCCCCTTTCTATAGCCCTGGATGCTGCCTGATTCATGAATTGCTCAATGAAGCCAATCAGATCTTCAATTTTACTCCACTGAATTTTTTGCATCACTGATTAGGGACAAAAACTCATGGGGAAAACATGATGCACTTTATCAACAATATATGTTGTGACAGGTTTTCAGAAATCCACTGTGGCAAAAAGTTGACAAAAATTTGCACCTTTATTTTTGTGGGATAAAAATAGAAACAGTAATGGGAAATTAAGATAACATTGCTCCAATTCAGGTTCTTCTCTGCCCATTAAAAGCTGTACCATAGGAAATGTTACTCATGCTTAAAAGACTCTATTAAGCCACTCAATAAAACTACAAATCAAGACAAATTTGAAAAGGATTTTCAATGAGTTTCAGTGAGAACATTCTTTATTGGTAAGCAAACACTTAAAAACTTTTTTATTACACACATCATGCAAAACAACTGACTTCATACACGGTTGTCTAATTGTGACATATTCTCCTTTAAGATGATTATAGATTTTAAAAGTTACAGTGACTGTAGTAAGTTAAAAAAAATCAGGAAAATGACTCTAAATGAAGCAAAATACTATGTAGTTCATGGAAAAGTCTTGTTCATCCCTTCTAGATGTTTAATTTTCTCTCCTAATGAAAATCTGTATATTTTTGAAGACTATTATATACAAAACTGGCAGCTGTTTTATATGTGCTAGGCACTCTACATAACTGATAAAAAGAAATTGCAAGGCCCTAACTGGTTTGGCTCAGTGGATAGAGCGTCGGCCTGTGGACTGAAGGTTCCCCAGTTTCGATTCTGGTCAAGGGCATATACCTTGGTTGCGGGCACATTCCCAGTAGGGGGTGTGCAGGAGGCAGCTGATGGATGTTTCTCTCTCATCGATGTTTCTAACTCTCTATCCCTCTCCCTTCCTCTCTGTTAAAAAAAAAAAAATCAAAATATATTAAAAAAAAGAAAAGAAATTGCAAGAATAAAATTTCAAATATTACAGGGTCTGGTTAATTTCCCCCTGGTTTTGGTAATCCAAAACAGGAAAATGCCCTTTTATTTAAAATGCTCATTTGTTTCATAGATTATTTCCTTAGAAAGATCATTTTGCTCCTGAGACAGTGTAGTGTATCCCTGGACATCTTTTTGAACTAAGAGTGCTTCTTTGAACTATTATTTATATATTCTCCAAGTTGTTTTCAATGAGTGGAAAGAAACAGGGCTTCCTATTCTGAGGGGAAGACAGGAATAATCTTCTTACTCTATGTATGACACTCAGAAAAAGTTTTCTTTGTGGTGGTGGGATCAACACTTCTATCTGTGGAATTTCTGGTAGCACTCTCAGTATTAGAACCCCTAATACAGGCAAATTCACTGCCTTAAAGTAACCAGAGCCCCACCCGGCCGGTATGGCCAAGTGGTTGAGCGTGACCTATGAACCAGGAGTTCACATTCGCTTCCTGTTCAGGGCACATGCTCAGGTTGCGGGCAATCCCCTGTAGGGGCGTGCAGGAGGCAGTTGATCAATGATATTTCTCTCTCCTTGATGTTTCTATCTCTCTCTCCCTTTTTCTCTAAGAATCAATAAAAACATATTAAAAATAAATAAATATCCAGAGCCCCCTGAGAAAAGTGAATTCCAAATCTCCTATTGGCACATCAAGTCAACTGGCAGCGAGTTGGCACAGAACACATTTCTAGATCCCTGAAAGTGGGGTGCTGCCACAGCAAACACCTGAAAGTACAGAACGGCTTTGAAATTGGGCAGTGACTAGAGCAGGAGTGGACAAACTTTTTGACTCGAGGGCCACAATGGGTTCTTAAACTGGACCGGAGGGCCGGAACAAAAGCATGGATGGAGTGTTTGTGTGAACTAATATAAATTCAAAGTAAACATCATTACATAAAAGGGTACGGTCTTTTTTTTTTTTAGTTTTATTCATTTCAAACGGGCCGGATCCGGCCAGCGGGCCGTAGTTTGCCCACGGCTGGACTAGAGGATGAGAGAAGTATTAGGAGTATGACAGAAAAAGTCAAGATTTCCTTGAACACTGTTAGTAGATATATGGATGAATGCTAGTGAGGGCTCAAAGGAGGTAAGCAGCATGGTAGAGAATGGGTAAACTGTCATGGAGAATATCTAAATTGTCGTGAGAAATAAGGACATTAAAGGTGCTGCCAGTGAGGGCTCAGAAGGAAATGAGGACCATGCTGTTGGAAACTAAAGAAAAAGAGACTAGAGTTATATACTAGCAAAATCTTAGCTGAAGTGTGTCCTGCGGTAATGTGGAAAGCAGAACTTTTAAGTGATAGACTTAATATATTTAGCTAAAGAGATTTCTAAGCAAAGCGTGGAGGGTGCAGCCTGCTTTCTTCTTGCGAACTATAATAAAACTAGAGGCCCAATGCACGAATTCGTGCATGAGTGGGGTCTCTCAGCCTGGCCTGCAATCGAGGCCTATCGGGGGGGCCAGCCAGCTGGGGGAAGGGACCCTGCGAGGTTTCCCGGCCAGCCCCCCGATCGGGGCCTATGGGGGGGCAGGGGAGGTGGCCAGCAGGGGCGAGGGACCGTGGGAGGTTGGCTGTGGGAGCACACTGACCACCAGGGGGCAGCTCCTGTGTTAAGCATCTGCCCACTGGTAGTCAGTGTGCATCAGAGCTACTGGTTGACTGTTCATTCCGGTCGCTCGGTCATAACCGTCGCTTAGACTTTTATATATATACTAGAGGCCCCGTGCACAAAAATTTGTGCACTCGGGGGGGGGGGGAGGGGGTTCCTCAGCCCGGCCTGTGCCCTCTTGCAGTCTGGGACCCCTCAGGCCCCCTTCAGGGTGGGGGTCCCCACTGGGGTGCCTGGCCAGCCTGGATGAGGGGATGATGGCTGTTTGCAGCTGGTCACACCCCCTTCAGGGTGGGGGTCCCCACTGGGGTGCCTGGCCAGCCTGGATGAGGGGATGATGGCTGTTTGCAGCTGGTCACACCCCCTTCAGGGTGGGGGTCCCCACTGGGGTGCCTGGCCAGCCTGGATGAGGGGATGATGGCTGTTTGCAGCTGGTCACACCCCCTTCAGGGTGGGGGTCCCCACTGGGGTGCCTGGCCAGCCTGGATGAGGGGATGATGGCTGTTTGCAGCTGGTCACACCCCCTTCAGGGTGGGGGTCCCCACTGGGGTGCCTGGCCAGCCTGGATGAGGGGATGATGGCTGTTTGCAGCTGGTCACACCCCCTTCAGGGTGGGGGTCCCCACTGGGGTGCCTGGCCAGCCTGGATGAGGGGATGATGGCTGTTTGCAGCTGGTCACACCCCCTTCAGGGTGGGGGTCCCCACTGGGGTGCCTGGCCAGCCTGGATGAGGGGATGATGGCTGTTTGCAGCTGGTCACACCCCCTTCAGGGTGGGGGTCCCCACTGGGGTGCCTGGCCAGCCTGGATGAGGGGATGATGGCTGTTTGCAGCTGGTCACACCCCCTTCAGGGTGGGGGTCCCCACTGGGGTGCCTGGCCAGCCTGGATGAGGGGATGATGGCTGTTTGCAGCTGGTCACACCCCCTTCAGGGTGGGGGTCCCCACTGGGGTGCCTGGCCAGCCTGGATGAGGGGATGATGGCTGTTTGCAGCTGGTCACACCCCCTTCAGGGTGGGGGTCCCCACTGGGGTGCCTGGCCAGCCTGGATGAGGGGATGATGGCTGTTTGCAGCTGGTCACACCCCCTTCAGGGTGGGGGTCCCCACTGGGGTGCCTGGCCAGCCTGGATGAGGGGATGATGGCTGTTTGCAGCTGGTCACACCCCCTTCAGGGTGGGGGTCCCCACTGGGGTGCCTGGCCAGCCTGGATGAGGGGATGATGGCTGTTTGCAGCTGGTCACACACCCTTCAGGGTGGGGGTCCCCACTGGGGTGCCTGGCCAGTCTGGGTGAGGGGCTGAGGGCTGCTTTCAGGCTGGCGGTTGTTGACTGAAGCTCCCAACCGCTCCTTTTTTTTCTCTTTTTTTATTTTATTCTGGGCCAGCTTTAGCTCTGGCTCTAGCTCTGAGGCTTCGTATCTGGTTTGTTTGCCGTTCTATAATCGAAACAATGTATAACTTCAGCTCTGAGATCCCGGCAGGCTGAAAGCTGGTTTCTAGGGTTTTGTTTAGCTTCTTATTTGCAACATAGTACATTGTTGCTTAGAGTTGCAACTCAGAGGCTGGCAAGTGAGGCGGGGAACGTTGGAGTCTGCAGTCACTGGAGCAAGGAAGCCTCATGTTCGCTTCCAGCTGCCTGGCTGCCGGCCGCCATCTTGGCTGACAGTTAATTTGCATAAGGATATGCTGATTAGCCAATGGGAAGGGTAGCGGTCGTATGCCAATTACCATGTTTCTCTTTTATTAGTGTAGATAGATGTGGGAGGAGACAGATAAATTGAGAGAACAACTGTTAAATAAATATAAAGAAAATAGGACTTGATAACTTGGAAATTCTCAGCCTACTCAGATGGAAAAGACATTAAAATGAAGAGATTCAGGCCTGGCTGGTGTGGCTTATTGGTTAAGCGCTGACCCATGCACCAAGAGAACATTGGTTCCATTCCCGGTCAGGGCACATGCCAGGGTTGTGGGTTCGATCCCTAGTAGGGAGCATGTAGGAGGCAGCCAATCTATGCTTCTTTCTCATTGATGTTTCTATCTCTCTATCCCTTTCCCTTCCATTACCTCTAAAATCAATAAAAACATTTTTTTTTTAAATGAAGAGATTCAGGAAAGCCTGCTCTAGGGAAAGAGATAAGGGGATAGTTGTACAACTTTTGCTAATACTCAAGAAAGATAAAAAAGGCCTGAGTATTTAGTCACACAAAAGATTCTTTGAAGAGATTAACATAAACAGAAGATCCACATGTTTTTTGAGAATGTTATACCAGCAGACATGGCCATCTTAAATGGAAAGGTATAGAGAGTGTGTGAAATGAGAGATGATCAGACCTCCCAGAATTCCACAGGTAAGAAATAAGTTGACAAAACTACTCAGCTGCACACATGTGCTGCGTTTCATGAAAAAGTTATGACTCTGAAAGGATGTCCTCTAGGACAGTGGTCGGCAAACTGCGGCCCCTTGAGTGTGGCTCTTCCACAAAATACCACGTGCGGGCGCGCACGTACAGTGCGATTGAAACTTCGTGGCCACACTCAAGGGGCCAAAGAGCCGCATGTGGCTCGCGAGCCGCAGTTTGCGACCACTGCTCCAGGACATCCACAAGCCTAGAGAATGGTGCTGCCAGCCACAGAAGACTATGCCCGGGCTTTGAAACCGAACGGAGTGTGCCTGGCTCATTTTCTAAATTGCCTGGCACTGGTATCTCCTTTTTTCATTCCATTTTCTGATTCTTCGAACAGGAATGTCCATAACTGTTATTCTATGCCTGTCCTACCTTCATATTTGGGAGAAGATAACTGGTTCTAGGTTCACAGACGGAGAAAAAGTATCTTTCAGGAATCACACCCAAATCCTTACTCATACCTATCTTAGATGATTAAAATGAGATTTGGAATTTTTGAGAGGGTGAAATTCAGATAAGATATTGCATTTGAAGTTGATGCTGTAATAGTCTGAGACTTTTGAGCACCTCTGGATGAGGTAACTTTATTTGGGATGGATGTGAACTTTTGAGGTGGGAGTAAACTGTGGTAGGTAGAATGGCCCCACAAAATGCTCATGTTCTAATGCTCAAATGTGTGCATTTTGCAGATGTAATTATAGTAAGCATTTTGAGAGATTATCCTGGATTTTCTAGGAAAACAAAATATAATCACAAGGATCCTTGTAAGAGAAAAGCAGAATTAAAGTTGGGACTAAAAGAGGTAAGAACAGAAGCAGAGACTGGAGGGATACAGCCATAAGTGAGGGGATGCCAGCAGCCTCTACAAGTTAGAAGAGGCAAAGAACAGATTCACCCTGGAGCCTCCAGAAGGAATCTGAGATGCTACTTTACATGGTAAAAGGGACTTTAAAGATGTGGTTAAGGTTACTATAGACCTTAAGATGAGGAGATAATCCTGGATTACCTTGTGGGCCCAATGTAATCATATGAGTCCTTAAAAGCAGAGAACCTTTCCTGGCTGTTGTCACAGAAATATGATGATAGAACCGTCAGAAAGATACAATGTTGCTGGCTTTGAAGATGGGAACAGAGGGCCACAGGCCTACCAATGCAAATGGCCTCCAGAAGTTGAAAAGGCCAGGAAATGCTTCTCCCAGAGTCTCCCGAAAGAATGCAGTCCCGTCAGCACCTGACTTTAGCCCAGTGACACTAGTTTAACCTACAGAATTAGAGGATAATAAATCTCCGCTGTTATGAGCCACTAAGTTTATAGTAACTTGTTCTAGCAGCAATAGAAAACTAACCAGGAGTGGGTGACCTAAGATGAAGTGGTGCCCGGGAAGAAGAACAAGCTTTTCTATCATTCCTGATGCACCTGCCTCACTCAGGAAATACCTGGCTTCAGCAGGAATGCAAACCTTTCCACTGTTCTTTCTTCAGATCCATTGGGCTTGACAGAACTGATATTCCTGTATTTCTATACTTGTTTTGTTCTGAAGTAGAAAACATTTTGGCTTTGACACTTAGAACAGTTTAGTGTCTATAGTGGGCCCCCTAGAAAAATGTGTTGACTGAATAAATGAATGTGATCAAGGCAAGCTCTGGGAGGGACTGTAATTCCTCTTTTTTAAAGTGCTGTTTACCACATCTCAAGAATAGCTGACCTTTATGTTTGTTTCAAGTTTATAATGTTCACAGTTCCATAAAATACAAGGCTGAACAGTAATATAGCTAAGTCAGTAAGTAAAAAGGATGTATAATATCTTAATAGGAGAAATAATCATTGCATGATCAAAGTATTTCAAAATCAGAATAAAGATACTCTTTAGTATATATTATAAATTTTCAAAACATTTGATCAGAAAATTCCTTAATGGCTCTTGATCAATGCATCATCAAGAAACTTTACTGCAAATTTTACCAAATTTATCAAAATGGAATTGTGTTAATTTTCTCTGCCAACAAATGTTGTTACGTGAACTCTGGGCATGTAACAAATTGGTTTGTGGATATTTAAAAGCTATCAACATAAGCCAGCCCTACAAATAATAATTCAAAGATATTTATCTCAAGATCTACTCCTAGTCCAAATTCATCTGTACTAAGGCTGGAGGATAAAATAAAAATAAAACCAAAATGCATCTGTATAAATTATAAAAACAATCTGGTACTTGTATAACTAAGTTTTTCTTATTAATATGGCACATCATCTCTCCTTTGTGTTACTGCATGAATAGGAGCAGCATTATTTCAGTTGCTGGAGAATCACAGTGTTAATAATACCTGCTTCTTGTAGTGTCAGGCTTTCATCGGTTAGCTCTTTGCTTGGAAATGAAGTTATAAGAATAAAGTCAAGATTTGCAAATTCAGGACGGGACTGTACAATGAAGTCCCGAACATCCAGGATCCTGAGAAATAAGATAAAAATAATTTGTGATACAGAAGTCTTATTACCATATAAGCTATTAGCTAAAATTAGATAATAATAAAAATCACACAATTCTAATCCTTATTTAACTGTGTTATAATTTTCTTTAATTTACACTATTTCAATGGATGGATTTATTTTAGCTGTAAGACAAAATATGAGGATTAACTTTGGAGTGTACCTAGTAGCTACTTTTACTGTAAAAAAGAGACAATCTTCAGATGAGTTATGCACAAAATAAATGCCAACCATGTTATTATAATGAAAAGTGCAGGTCCTACTTTTATCAGAGTATAAAATATTTTAGCAGCGCTCGACCCAGAAAAAGAAAGGTACCTCAAATTGGCCTCTGTCAAAGTGAGTCTGAAACTATGAAAAGTGTAGGTCATAAGAATAGTTTTTAAACATTACTTTCACATAGGGCTTCTGGTCAAGATGGTGGCATCAGTAAATGCCATACTCACATTCTCCTACAACTACATCAAAATTACAACTACAGAACCACCACAATTCAGAACCAACTGAAATCTAGCTGAACATAAGTCCTACAACTGAGAATATAAAGAAGTCACATGGAGACTGGCAGGAGAGGTGGAGACGCAGAATGGGCTGGTCCCACACTCAGATGTGGCAAATAAAAAGTGGAAGGGCTATCTTGGCTGCGGCAGCCCCTGAGGAGCGGAGGACCCAGCTCCAAATCAGGCCCTCCAGCCCAGGGTTCCAATGCTGAGAAGTCCCCATACCTTCTGGCTATATAGACACCAGTGGGGATTGTGGATGCGTGAGACAGAGGGCTTCTGGAGTCCCAGGCAGTTCTTCTTTTTTATTTTTATTTATTGATTTGAGAGAGGGGAAGAAAAGGAGAGAGGGAGGGAAGGAGAGAGAGAAACATCAATTTGTTGTTCACTTATTTATGCATTCATTGGTTGATTCTTATATGTGCCCTGGTGTATGGGGATGAGGCTCTAACCAACTAAGGGCCACAGGCAGTTCCTCCTAAAGGGCCCATGCATGGACTTACTTGAATGCACTTCCTCAGAGCTCCAGCACTGGGGCAGTTGCTTGAAAGCTACCAGGGACATACTGAGAAGAACTGACTTGTCTGACATGGGGTGGGGTGGCAGCAGGAAAAGAGCTGGAGGGGTAGTTTTTCCCCAGAGAAAAGTGCTGGCAGAGGCCACTGCTCCTTTTCTGAGCCCTCCCCCATAGAACTGGCAGGTGAGTGCCACATCTGAGTCTCCACCAAATTGGCTAACACTGCTAGTCCTGTCCTGGTGATTTCCTGAGACCCGCCCCACCCACTTTGCAGGCCCACCCAACTTACAGGCCTACCCAAGTGATTCCAGTGGCTTTTCCAGACAAACAGCCTGTCTTGGCTCATGCTTCACACATTCCTAAAATCTTTCAAATGAGTAGCATCTGGTTTGGGCATGCCCTTTACCTCTCACTAAGGGGCCCCAGGCCGGACACTGGTGGCACCCAGCCTTGGTCCACAGCTTGGCCTCTCCTGGGCACCTCCAAGCCCAGCACACGGAGCAGCCATCAGCAGACTGCTTTGTAACTCATTCCAGCTGGCCCCAGGCAAACACAGGGGGTGGCTAACCTTGGCCTGAGCCTCCCAGGAGGTCCCACAGCCAGCACAACTGATGGACAGCTTTAGATCACATAGAAGTAACACCCAACCACCTCCACAAGTGACAAACTCAAATGGCAGACTCAGCAGGCAACAGAGCTGCACTGAAGTAAGTCCTACTCTGTGGGTGGGTCCCTGCACAGCTGATACTCCATGGTGGTCCCAGCCAGTCCTAGCAGTCTATCAGCTGGGGGTAAATCCCTCCCACTGAGGTGCCAACAGCAATCAAGGCTCAACTACAAGAGGAGGGTGTACACATAGGGGATGCAAGTGGACTGCCCATCTCAGGTGAAAATGAATGATAAAATGGCAATAAATACATATCCACCAATAATTGAACCTAAAAAACAAATGAACAAGCAGAACAGAAACAGACTCATAGATGCAGTGAACATTTTGACGGTTGCCAGATGGGAGGGGGAATGAGTGAAAAAGGTGAAGGGATTAAGAAGGACAAATTGGTAGTTACAGAATAGTCATGGGGATATAAAGTATAGCATAGGGAATATAGTCAATAATATTCTTATAACTATATATGGTGAGAAATGGGTATGAGATTTATCAGGATGATCACTTAGTAAGTGATATAATGTCTAATCACTGGATTGTACACCTGAAACTAATATGATACTGTATATCAACTGTAATTGAAAAATACAAAAATGATTTAAAGTAAAAAAAGAATTTCTTTCACATATACACAATACTCAACTTAGATTATAAATGTATCCCTGCAAAGGCATACAATAAACAAAAATAATCGTATTAGCACAAGTATTAATTTACAAGTGAATGGTGAAATGGCATTTAAAACGGTTTATTTGAAGTACTTGACAAGCACAATTAAACTTTACAGTATAAGTTTATATTACGAAGTTAACCCAATCAGTACTACCATAAATTTTTATATGAGTAAAGTCCAAATAAGGTTTCAATATTAAATTAAATCTGATTCCACTTTATGTGGTTTTAGCAACAGTGCAAAACTGCAGCTTTTAATGATTTTGTTTTTTTGAGTAGTACCTGGATTTGCATTAATATTTGGAGTTTACAAAGGATGTTTAATTACTAAGTATTTCACTTCTTACACATAGCTATTACCCTTTTAAAGTTTTTTCCCCCTTTGTCAAAAACTTACTGCATATCTAAAGAATTTCATATTCTTCATTACTCCAGTCACATTCAGTTTACACAGATCAGTAACCCTATGTGTGAGAGTAAACTAGAAGCTTACCTGTGTGTACTATTGAATCTTTGTATTAAACGACTCCCATCTGCCAGCCTGATTTGAATTTTTGTTGTTGGCACTGAATCATCAATCAGAACAGCTGCATTAAGTATTGACTTCTCCTCCTCTTCTGGGGAGGAAGGTGTACTGACAATTTCAGGGGTAAGGCTATGAAATAAGAATGAAAGAGTTAGAAAACAAATGCAAACACATAAGACATGTAACAAACTGAAGACAGTAGCATAACCACTGAGACTGATCCCTGACTCTCCAGCTAGCCCCCCCCTCTGGCTTCTGGACTAGCAAGAACATGGCCCCTTTGGTCTCCTATACTTCTTCCAAGCTCTTTCATTATATTATAGTTATTTTGGACCCTATGATTTTGATTTAGTTTATCCAATCTCTTTGAAAAGCCTATTTGTGTACTCCTTCCTTCTTTATCCCTTTGAAATTTCATGAAACTGTTTAGCAAACACGGGCCTTTAGTCAGAAATCTGAGCAACTTTGAGTTAACATCAAAGAATGACTAAGAGCACAGACAGACTTGGTTTCAAATCTCAGCCATGTTTACTGTGTAAACTTAAGTAAATTAATCTCTTTGAATCCCAGCTCTGTCATTTGTAAAATGGAGGAAATATTGGGGTACGAAGGTACATTATACAGGCATATCTCAGAGATTCAGGTTTGGTTCCAGACCACCACAATAAAGTGAGTATCACAATAAAATGAGTATCACAATAAGGCAAGTCGTAATCTTTTTGCTGGTGAAGGGTCTTGCCTTCAGTTTGTAAAAAAAATGCAGCATCTATGAAGCTCAATAAACTAAAGTGCAATAATATGAGGTGTGCCTGCACCATTAAGTCCTAGAACACTTTATCAAACAAAATCTAGTTCCTGGGCTCTGAAGGATGTGCTTGGGTCTTAAAAAAAGGCAGGTTAACATATGTACTTGTATTTCCTACATGTCTCAGAAATCAGTCTCTAAAAGTGATGGCACTGTAATTAGCTAGTTATTAATAACTAGAGGACCGGTGCAAGAAATCGTGCATGGGTGGGGTTCCTCAGCCTGGCCGGCGATTGAGGCCTATCGGGGGCCAGCCAGCCAGGGGGAGGGGCCACAAGAGGTTGGCCGGCTGGGGGGAGGGGCCGCAGGAGGTTGGCTGGCTAGAGGGGGAGGGGCCATGGGAGGTTGGCTGGCCAGCTCGGGAGGTTGGCTATGGGAGTGCACTGACCAGCAGGGGACAGCTCCTGCGTTGAGCGTCTGCCCCTTGGTGGTCAATGCATGTCATAGCAACTGGTTGACCGGTCATTTTGGTAGTTCCGGTCGTTCGGTTGTAACAGTTGCTTAGGCTTTTATATATATAGACTAGAGACCCAGTGCATAAAATTCATGCATGAGGGGGTTCCCTCAGCCCAACCTGCACCCTCTCCAATCCAGGAGCCCTCAGGGGATGTCCTACTGATGGCTTAGGCCCGCTCCCCGCGGTTCTCTGCTCTCTGCAGGGCCTGATTGCCTGCTCGCCCAGTCGCTGCAGCGACCTGCAAGCAGGCCCTGCTGTCTGCTCTCTGCGGGGCCCGCTTGCCAGCTAGCTGCCAGTGGGACTGAACGAACTGGAGGACTCCTGGGGGCGGGTCCAGCTGCGCCGCCTGCCTCTGCTCCTCCGGTGGAGCTGAGGGGCCTGGGCGCTGCCATCTTTGTGATGGAGTGACAGTCAATTTGCATATTCCCACTTTATTAGATAGGGTAGGAAAGGAGCAAAGGGAAGGCCAGACATTACAGGCCTGTTCCCTGCAAAACACTGGGGAGAGAGGACTGGACATAGGGAAGATAGACGCATGCCCAGTAAAGCTGGGATGACAAAGGAAAGGTACTTGCCAGTCAATCACACCTGGTGACAGAGATGGTTGGCCAGAATGAGTGTGGCCACTGCAAGTGCATGGAAATTTTGGATATATAAACCCCTAAACAAAGAAGCTCATTCTCTTATGCTCTTGGCACACTTGGCTTCCTTGCATTCTCCCATGTGGCCCACGACCATGTGGACCCCTACACACAATGGACTAATGGACTGCAACTAGCTTGATACTGAACTGGACCCGACTACAACATGGAACAAAAACTCTGGACCCTGGCTCTGATTTTAGCTTTACTGAAACCTCAGCTACACTCCTTCTATGACTGGACTAAGGGAAATGAGACTTTGGAAACTGAGGGGTGTAATTCCAAAGAAATAAAGTTTTCTACTATATCGCGTCCTCCTGTGGAAGTCTCCGGAAATGCTTATTGCAGCGGTACCTCAAGAACCCCACTCCCACTAGTGATGGGGGAAGATGAGGAACGTTTTTCTCCAATAACAAAAGCAGAAAAGGATACAGAAATGGAGACTCAAGATATGAAAGACAAGGATAAAGAACCGATACTGAATTCTTTCCTATTCTGAGGAGAGGGGAATAGAGAACCAGTGTGCCCAATGCAAATGAAAAGAACTTGGAAGGGAAGGAATTATATGAAAAGGAATAAAACATGCACAAAAGGGCATGTGGGACACATGACTGATGCATCAATTCCACAGGTCACCTGTAGTGATAATGTGGACAAATAGAGGATAGCCTGTACTAACTTATTTTACAAGATTTATGAAGAGTCTTTTAAGCCAGGCTGTTATAAAGGAGTCCACTCATACACTAAACCATGCATATTGGTTTCTAAATTATGCTCAGCAGAATCCAAGGGGTTCTTGGGAAATGTCTGAGATAATTCCTCCTTCTCTTACAACCAGAGGAACTCAGGTTTCATATGTGTTTTAAATACATATTGGGCTTCCATAACTTGAAGAAAGACTTTGGCTGCTTAAAATGTATTGAGAAAAACCAACTTAAGCACACTGCTTTGCTGCAAGAGCTCAGTGGCACCTAAGCATGCTTAAAGCTATGATCTAAGATATCTATTGTTTTATCTAATTAACAACCCCTTCCAAAATCCCCCTTTGACACTATGTAATTAGATAGAGACAAGATGATCTAATGGTAAAAGCACAGACTCTGGAGCCAGAGTTCCTGGTTTGAATTCTACATGCTAATCACATTCCACCTCAATCAATTTGGGCAAAATACTGCATCTGCAAAAGGAGGGATAACAGGATCCATAGGGAAAAGTGGTTGTGAAGATTAAATGAGTTAATGTATGTAAAGTGCTTAGAGGACCAAGAATGTGGTAACTGCTATCTAAGTATTAGCTACTAATATTGTCACCAGATTTGCATATCTAATTCCATCAGCAAAGTTTTAGTTTTTACTTTCTAGATTATTTTGATATATTTTATTCCCAAAGGAAATTCATGTTGAACACACACAAGTATTTTTCTCATTTTAGGATTCTACCTTCCAAGTTTTTGTCCATCTCCACTAAAAGCCTTGAACCTCAATCTGGGTTTTATGTATTCTTGATCCTGATGATCCTCCATATCCAAGTTCACTTGGCCACCATGAACCAGTCGCTGAAGCTCCGGGGGAATTTCTCTTTTAAAAAAGGGAAAAAGGTTTTAGTTAAGTTTTGGGAAAAAAAAAAAAAGAATCTATACTGTTGATATTGATATAATCAAGTTGTGAGCTATACTGGAAAATCACAATTTTTGCATAAATTTGTAATATAAACGTTTCTGTGATGATTGATATTTCTTTATCTATAGATATTTCTTTCTTAAAGTTGCATCACATCATTCCTTAGAGATTCTCAACATAGGGATTTTTGTTGTCATAGTGATCTTGGAGTGCTTCTGATAAATTGTAAGGCAGCAATTCTTACCTAAATTAACACTAGGAAATTCCTATGAGGACATAACAGTTAATGCAGATATTTCTTTCCAAACTCCTGGAAGAGGTTTTCAAAATGATAGGGATATTTTTGATTGTTGCGTGGCTGCTGAGTGCTGCTGCCCAGTCAGGGCAGGGGATGAATGATGCTCTGACACGGGGGAGCCATCTTGAACAATGAAGACTTGTCTCGGGTTCCACAGAACCACTGAATACCCTGCCAGGGAGTCATATGATGACGAATGACACTGTTTATAATGTCTGAGCCTAAAACCCAAGGCTTAGGCTCTGTCTTACATATAAGCAAAACCTCAAAACCTGTTTTTGTGTGTGTGCTGTTTTAATATGCTTTGCAATTTCTATCTTCCATATAAACTGAGGAAAGACTGCAACTTCTTTTGTTTAGAACAAATCCCTGACTGCACTGCCACTTATAGTAATGAAGTTGCCAACTTCCTATACCTCCCTATTCTGTTTTTATGCCTGTCACATTTATGTGAGAAGTGCCAGTCTGCTCATAAGTGCAAATTATCTGGCTGCTTTGTTATATCTTCTGGTGTGGTCATACTCGGGCATTTAGAAACTGAAATATGTATAATTTTATGGTAAATTACTTTCTTTTAGTCCCTCAATATTTGTAAGATAAAATTTACTTTAATTTTTTGGAAATAATATACATAGATTTATGAATTTTTCTTTGGAGATACTGAAGATGTATTACAAAATATTTGTTATAAAAAGGGAACAACAATTACATAACTGACAATCACTGTCTGATATCAATCACTGCTTTCAAGGAGTCTTTTCTAAAACTATTCTTGATCATAATTTGTTTGAGAATATGGTGTGACTCAAATTTTTTAAAAAATTAGTATATCATACTGTGTGAACAGTAGCCTACAAAGTTTAGAGATTATTTTCACTTAACAAATTAGTTTTCATCTATAATACATTCGTCATCAATAAGTTCTTTTCTTCTACCATCTTGAAATAAGCATCAATTTTAACTGTTCTGCTGATCTTCACTTAGCAGATGAACCCTTTCCCTACTTATCACTCCCATCTCTTCCCAGTGACTCTGCAGGGTTCCCAGTCCATAGCATTGACTTAAACTATCATATACTGCCTCCCAGGTCAGCCTCCCACCCTTCTCAATGACTTCAGCATACTGCCTACAGCTTACAGCATGTCTTGCCTTTTTTTGATATCCTGACGTTATCTTTGATGAATTCAAATTCAAAATTCATGCTAATTAATGTTCTAAAATACCCTTTCTCCAGAGTGTTCTTTCACTATCTCAACTCCAATGAGTTTCATCTCTACTCCACTTGGATATATTTCATCACTTGGAAAAGCCCTGTCTTCAGTTCCTGGGTGGGGTATAACCTCCTACTCCAGTCCCTTTACTGCTACTTAAATCTCCCAGTTCATCACCAATATCTCAGTAAAATATCTTATTCTTCAGTAAGAAGGGCTAGTGAGTTATGATGTTCTAAAGGTGGGTCAGAGTACTGTATATTGGTTTACTTTCATAAATTATAACTTCAAACTAACCTTTTGAAATCTTCTGCCAGCAGTAATGCCACTTTAAAAGATTTCTAATATAAGCTGCTGAATTTCAGGCATACATGCAATGAGTCACCCTGTCAACAGTAAGCAGGACAGTGGCTTAGTGGATGGCAACTACATGCTAATCAATTAATTGATTATACTGAGGTGGTTCTTCTTAGAGTTGGGACCATAGCTTCATCAGATTTTTAAAGGGACGAATGTCTTACTGCCTTCCCACTCCCCACAGGTGAAAACAGTAACTTATAGACAATAATATGTCCTTTATATACTTAGAAATACCCTTCCCCCAGGAGTCACTTACATAATCCAATTCTTAGATACCACTAGAGTCCTACTGAATGGCATTCTGCTTAAAAAACAAAAACAAAAACAAAAAAACAAAACAAAACAAAAAAACTCCCACCGTGAATAACAAATAGAACACAATAATACAGCTTACCCTCTTTTAACAGACTCCAGAAATTGAGCATTCACTGGATCATTGTACGGTCTCAATTCTCCATCATCTAAACTGAAACCATTGCTCCACAACTTAAGCAAAATCTGAACCTTTTGAGCACAGAAAAAAAATAAAGAAAATACAAAAATCTATTTGCATCAAACAATCTTAAGTTTTAAATGTAATTTTAAACAACTTAATTTAAAATATGGAGTTATTTGTACTCTCCTTATTCACAGTTAAAATAAAGACATACGTGAAACCATGTGTGTCTGCTAAGCAGATTTGTGTTCAGCTTAACAAATGGACCATGGCTGAAATACCAAAGGTCCCACAGGTCCCACACCTGGGCCCTGGCTTCAAGGCACAATTATTTCTAGTTCATTGAGAAAACAAAAGCAATGAGATCATTCAGCTGCACTCTGCACCCACCTTCTCCTTCTGTGTCCATATTTTCTAATTCAGAACTTAAATATTCATTCCAAGGTGCAAGACAGAATTTCTAGGGACCCGCCAAGGCTAAACTACATGTTTAAAATAAAGTTATAACTCCGAAATTTCAAAAGGTAAATGAAATAATGACTTAGGTGTTGCTATGTTTACAACTCAGCTCATTCTATATCGTAACAGTACACCATTTATAATAATCATCATCATACATTTATAAGCTTATTTTACAGTGAATCATACAATTCAACAAATAGTTATGTATCTCTAAGTGCAAGGCACATTAGGGATACAAAAGATAAAATTTGAGACTGAAAACTTACAAATTAGGCCTTTTAATCTGTTTTACAAATTAAGAAAACAAAAAGATATTTATATTACCAACTTTTAATTTTAAAATAAACAGTAGTAACTAGAGGCAAATATCTATAATTTTTCACTTTGATTACTGTACCTACATCTTGCATCTGATTTTCTCCATAGATGTATTCAGACTGTTTACAAATGGAATTACCCAATCTGTATCCTCCACCTGTAAAGGACTAAAATACAAAGCAAGTGAATTAAAAATTCTGTAAGGCTTATTAAGCAGTATGTTGCAATAATCCTATATAATAAAGGCCTAATATGCAAATCAACCGAACGGCAGAACTACCGGTCACTATAACGCACTGACCACCAGGGGGCAGATGCTCAATGCAGGAGCTGCCCCTGGTGGTCAGTGTGCTCCCACAGGGGGAGCGCTGCTCAGCCAGAAGCCAGGCTCACCGCTGGTGAGCACAGCGGTGGTGGCGGGAGCCTCTTCCACCTCCAAGGCAGTGCTAAGGAGCAGCAAGCCCAGCTTCTGACTGGTAAGTGCAGCGGCAGTGGCGGGAGCCTCTCCCGCCTTCTCTGCAGGTGGGCGATAAGGAGTGAGGGGTCCCGGATGGTGAGAGGGATGTCTGACTGCCGGCTTAGCAGGGGGGATCGGGCCTAAGCCGGCAGGCGGACATCCCCCCAAGGGGTCCCGGACTGTGAGAGGGCGCAGGCCGGGCCGAGGGGCCCCACCAAGTGAATGAATCTCATGCAGTGGGCCTCTAGTGTGTGATATATATTTTAAAACTAAATTAACTATAATTAGTCAAACTGGTTTATATTTTCCAGGAAAACAGCATATTAACATTAAAGGCTTATGTTACAACACAGAGAGGTGTATTCAAGCAAGAAGTTATGTTTCTTGCCCTGGCCAGTTGACCATGTGGTAGTTTAGGAAACCTCCCCAAATGATTTGACAAGAGAAATCAGGTTGGGAAATGTTAACTATGAGAACACTAGAGGCCTGATGCACAAAATTTGTGCAAGAGTAGGCCTTCCTTCCCCCAGCTGCTGGCACCAGCTTCCCTCCAGCACCCGGGACCCAGGCTTCCCTCGCAGCCCTGACTTTGTCCAGAAGGTCGTCCAGAAGGATGTCCAGTCTAATTAGCATATTATGCTTTTATTATTATAGATATGGCAATTATACACAAAAATACACTTTAGTATACCAATACTGCATCTAGAAAGTTTTGCAGAAACTGAAGAAGGTACAAAAATAATCCAGTGAAAGAAAAAGAGCCTTTCAACATGGTGGAGCAATTCGTCCTCTGCACAAGTAGAAATAAGAATCTTGACTTAAACTTAATCAAAATCAACTCAAAATGAGTCACAGGTTTAAACGGAAAACTAAAACTTTTCTACATAACACAGAGAAAATCTTTGGGACCTAAGGTTAGGTGAAGAGTTCTTAGACAAGATACTAAAAGTATAATCCATAAAAAAAAAAGATAAATTGGACTTCATCAAAATTTAAAACTTTGCTTTATAAAAAACCCTGGTACGAGAATGAAAAGACAAGCTACAGTCTAGGAGGAAATATACACACACAAAAATAAAGAACTATCAAACAATTTTGTTTGTAACAAATAATCCAATCTGAAAATGGGCCAGAGTAAAGAAGAGACATTTTATTAAAGAGGAAAAATAAAGAGAGTGGCAAATAAGCACCCGAGAAGATGTTCAACATTATAGGCCATTAGGAAAATGCAAATAACATCATTAGCCATTAGGGTATTGGGGAAAACTGGGTGAAAGGTACACAACACCTTTCTGTATACCCTTTGCAAATTCCTGTGAGCCTAACTATTTCAAAATAAAAAGGTAAATAGAGAAGTTGCATAGAAATGTAAGAAACTGCCTCAACTGTCAATCATCAATAGAAAGATTATAACCTTATAAAAATGAATCAAATATTTAAAGGAGAAATATACAGTAAGAAAAATAGTGTTATATAATAATACTAGAGGCCCGGTGCACAAAAATTTGTGCACTGGGGGGCAGGGGGAGGGGGGTCCCCCAGCCCGGCCTGTGCCCTCTCGCAGTCTGGGACCCCTCGGGAGATAACGACCTGCTGGCTTAGGCCTGCTCCCGGGTGGC